AGTCGGAAATGGAAAGATAACCGAGAATCTCCATTGCCATCGGCCACGTCGGCTGGCAGTCCGGATCGAGTAGCGAGCACGAGTTGTTTGAACGACACATCATACTGATCTTGCGGCTCTTGTGATGGATCAGTAGAATCGGCATTAGAACAGTTCAAGAAGCGCAAGTTTGCTTGCGGCAACCGCACGACGAAATCAGTAATAGTCCCGTTTACTTGTTCTTGTTTTTGTGTATCAAATATGTCTGTCACCGTTCCTATGTGGAGAGTATCAAGAATGTCCTCCGGGTCGGAAGGTGGTAAGGCTCGTATCAAAGACGCTATGCATCGCAGAGATGGAGCGTTAAGGAAGACAGTTATTCCGGAAGGAAGCTCAAGGAGCAAGCTCTGGTGAGCACAATTCTGATTTAGTTGGTCAGGGGGTAGGCTGTCTAAGCTAAAACCTGAAGAGTCTAGAGTGTCGTTTTCGTCCTCTTCAATACTGTGAAATGTCGCTTCTTTGGTGTCTGGTCTGACGTTCAGTAGAGGAAATGAAGGGGCATAGTATTGGCTTGAAAAGGTTATGCTGCTATGTGGCGGCTCTCTCTTATCCCCGGGGTCACCATAGGCGCTAAAGTGCCCTGAGTATTCGCGGGAGTGAATGGCTTGTTTAGATTCGCTATCTCTGAATGGCACAGAATTCAGGGCTGTACGGCCGGAAGCCCGGGATCGTTGTGCGGTCCTAATAGAGCCTGGTCGTAGAATGCTCCCACTGTACGAGCTGGCTAACGAGAGGAATGAGCTCTTATGGCGAAGTCTGGCAGAGCGATTCGAGGAGCCTAAAGATGATATTGATATAGACGCTTTGTCGGCAACAGATCTAGAAAGAGCTGGCTGGGGAACCGGGGGAACGCTTTGCGCTGGATTGTCGACATGATCGGACGCGAAGTCATTCGGAAGGCCTGGAAGTAGCAAAAAGCCTGCCCGATGCGTTCGTTGGTCATGGCGGCGTATAAGTTCCTGTTGTAATAGCCTCTCCTGTGCAAAGTCATACTTGCGCCCAATAAGTGCAAAATGTACATTTGTTCGGAGGAAGACGTCCGTATCAACATGAGAACGGGGCCGTGACCTATGTCTTGTTGCCGATTCCGAGTTAACGCAAGCAATCTCGAGATTGGGTACCTTTATATCTGCACGTCTTGAGTAGTGTGTCCGCGCCCAGTCATTGAATTGAACATCGACTGTCGCAGTGGAAAACAAGAACGCTGCCTCATCCACATGTACCCAGACTTGAACTGACTCAACGAAGACACGCAAAAATGTTACATCATACACCACGATAGATGAAAGGGGAATCAACGCGTTCTCGTCGTCATCAAGCGTAAAGCCAAATGCTTTCCCTGCTCTTATGAGAGTGGTCAGAAAATCGGTTGAACAATCCCCAGTGACGGGTCCAGCTTTTAGGTCCCAATTACAGAGATAGGTTGGCTCAATAGGTGGTAAGCCAAATAAACGGTGCCCATGGATATCTAAACCATCGATGAAGAGCTGAGTGCTCGGTATAGCACTCATTGGGCTAGTGCCGCCTTCTTCCTCGCCCCCGAGGGAAAGACTTAGGGGACTAATAGATAGATCAAGATCCATATAATAATTGGTGAATCGAAGATCAAGGGCTAGAGAGGCAGCCTCGATTGGAATATAACGCTTTGCAGAGTACATGTTAGCAGGCAGAAAAAGCCTAGGGTCGTCAGCGCGGATGCTCAGTATCACATCTAGATCATTTGATTTCTTATGCGGAGGACGATCCTCAGGCTGAGCATCTGGATCAGCTCCTTTGGCCCGTAATGCTTCTTGGTGCTCATCCAGTGTCTTGAAATGGATGTTGTCGCCAAAATAATTGTCCTTCATTTGTAGGAAATAACGAACAAGGAAGCCATAGATGCGGGCAGTGAGGGACTGGCCGGAGACATCGAGGACAAGCGTGTCGGTATTTGCAGCTGAAGTCGTTGCATTATAATTATAATTTCCTTGGATAGTCAGACTTTCAAGGTGTCCTATGTCTTTCGAAGCTAAGAACGTCGCTTGAGTATTCCATGGTGGCACGTGTAAGCCGAGGCGTAGAGGGTCGGCCGTAACTTTGAAAGGTATCGCATTTTTCGTGGGACGATAGCTATCTAATGGTATGGATGTGTCTACCACCAGGCGGGGGCTGCATAGGACCAGATACGTGTTCTCCTCGAAGTTGATTGGATCGTTGACGATATTCACATCGTTGACGTTGAGATAAAGCTTCAGATTGAGAAGTCGCAAGTTAATGAGGTATCTAAAAGGAGTGAATAGAAGGTATTCGGCCGGTGGCCCGCTCCCCCAGTCGTCTATGAGGTCAATGAGCAGAAATATATGATCTCTCAGAATGAAAAGCTCGAGCCCGTCACCCTCGATGTCAAAACGCCAAGTACGGAGGCCATTCCATTTCAGAGGCGTAGACAAGTCACAGGAAATCTGCTGGCGCCCAGATCGCCACAAGAGCCCATGGTTTACGCTAGTCGAGACTTCAGTTGCGGGAAGATCGATTTTTAGAGTGTTCGTATATCCGGTTGACCTGGCTAGCATATCCATATCATACGAGATAGTAGCATTTGCCGCAACCTTGATGTCGAGCCACCCAATCGGACGTTGTTCTGCGGCTGTAGTTGCAGTAGACTTTCGATTCCTACCTCTTTCGCGTCGATTACCCTGCTTGTGATGCTGCCTCAACGTGAGAGCCTCGTTTTTCCACTTCCAATTCTTGGAATCTTCACGGGTAGGAACTCGTAATATAACCTCTTCATCAATTTGTAAATAGAAATTAAACCGTGTAGGTACACGGTCCGCGCCGAATGGTAGCCTCTGAGCAGGAGTTGCATCCTTGCATAAACCTGGGAAAAATACCTTCTGAAGTTCGGCTCGTTGTCTGTCTGCCCACGGCCCGTAATTTATTGTGCCGCCGCTCAAAGACAGATTAATCGCCCAGGCCGGCGCGGTGGTTCCATTGATATCATCCGATACACTATCTTCGCCCTTTGATGAATATACTGTGCCACGTGGTGCAACTTTTCCAGGAACATCCCAGAGTATTGTTAACGTCCCCTTGGGGCTGTCAACCACCGGATTCACCTTGGCATACTCGACCGACGACCATCGAAGTCTATCATCGTCATCGTCGTCATTGAGATACCGGGAAAGCCCTTGCCATTGGTTTGAGCCTGGTATGCGGGTTTCATTAGGGCCATCTTCATCTTGAGAATTTGCCGAAAAGGATTCGACAGACTTCCGCCAATATGGAACCATATTCCGCAATTGCCCAACCACTTTGCGGCGTTGTCTCCGAAAGAATGGTCTTTGGGGTACAGGACTAGTGGCTTTTGCGACTTGTTCGTCCTTGACAGCCCTAGCGAGTTGCTCTTCCTTAAACCCGTCATTTTCCCTCATTTCAAGTACTGGGTTGTCAAAATGTATCTTGAAAAGCTGTCGATAGGGATCCGGAGTCTGACAATCGCTCGCATCAACTTCTCCTGACAGCCCCTTAGACTTTATAATAAGAATGGCCTTAGTATTCTCATTTCCCATGACAAGGGCTGCCTTCTCGCATCTGAAATGAATTGGGAGTAACTGCAATACTTGAGGTAAGTCTCCCTTGCCCGCCGTTTCAAAGTCACCATCAGAGGTAGAAGTAGATTTGAAGGCCCTCCGGGGGCGGGCCTCAAGACCGTCCTTCTCATCAATATATTCTTGCCTAGCTCCTTCGACATGCTCGGTCTTCTCATGAGACTTGCGAAGCCGCTGTCGTGGCCTAGCCGAGCTATTCGCTAGGCCCTCGGTTCGGTCTAGTGTATCATCATGCTTAGACAGAGGGGACACAGACATTGCTTCAAGCATGGAGTCGTAGGCGGCGCTACGGTTATAAACGAACCACTCGATCCCAGAAACGACGACATTGACACGACAGGGGAGTTCGGCTTGTTTCCTAGTATCCGACGTAACACCGTCTCCGGACTCCTTATTCTTTTTGCCGTCACTCAGCCCAACATCGCGTACCCTGCGCAGCCAGTACGACCAGGTAATATGTCCATTCTGAATAAAGATAGTCTCATTATTTCCATGATATCGAAGGCCTGTAAAGAAGATACGGCCACCAAGCAGTGACCATTGTATCGCTTGTATGTCGATATAGATCCGGTATCGATGCCAGGTATAGGTGCGGATAAAGTAGGAGACGATGGAGGCAAAGGCTCTATTAAAGTATAGTAGGAAGAAGATTGCACTGTAGATGAGTTGAGTATAGAAATAAGAGGGAATCGCATACGGTTAAAGATAACTTACAGTAAACCGCAGACTATGATATAAGCTAGGAATTGACTTCGCCAAGTTAGTAGGAGATATCTCTAAACTCCATCTCCAGGTGGAAAGGTAAAAACATACGCTTTAAAGTCGCGCCAGCCCACGGTGTTAGCCATGTCAACTCCAGAACTCCCCAACTCCCCAATGCACCCCCTACGATTTGCGACACCTAAGTTCTCTCCACTATCCTAACCTCAGAAGACATCGAGCCCCATATCGTAATTGTTGACTAAGTTGTGGCGTCTCCAGAGAGGCGCGTAGGCAAGTATATCGTTCGGGTACTTGACAGGGCGACGACAGCACGACAGCAAAGTTGCGAGGTTGCGAGGTTGCGAATATCGTCAATTGGTTGAAAGGTTGATCGAATTCGGGTATGTACATGGATGTAAGTAGTGTAATTGGAGGTACTATTGTACAACATTAAAACCCGGGCTAGATTCGCTGCATGACGCGTGACGGACAAGGATAGCCGCAGCACTTGAGATGAGTTAGAGGTACTTAAGTCGATCCACATATTGGTCCATTGAACTTAAGCCGTTTAACCCGTACTAATCGATAAGGCATGCATCCACACAAGCTGCATAAGCGTTGCATGGAATTAATTGAGCGGGTACGTACCCAGGTAGCCCCCCCAGGTAAGGTGCTAGGTTAGGGTCATCGATGCATGCTTCGAAAGCCTTAATCAAATAACATTTCTCAGTTCCCAAAACCCTCCACTTTCATCATTAAACCTCCGCTTACAACACCTCGAATTTCGAACATGTGCTACTTCGAAATTCTTGTCCTTTGAGTAGGCAGTGTCCCATTCCGGTGACGCGTAGGTCTCAAACCGCCAATATGGCTGGCGGTACCGGCCAGAAGTTCACCACTGCTACGACAGTTATTGCTGGTGTCTTCTCTTTGGCAGCCACCTTGATGTCTATGGTGTAAGATCCAACTGTCTGCTTATCTCTCTTTTAGTTAAGATGGCAATGCTGATATGTTACTAAAACAGCTCGATATGGCTTCAATTGTATGCCCATCCTACATTCCTAGTCGTACTGTACAATAAGTTAAACGCGTATACAGAAAGAATTACCGGAAGCCTCTCTTGCAGCGATACGTCGTACGGATATTATTGATGTGAGAACAATTTAAGTATAACATTGTACACCTCTAATATTGCTCAGGGTTCCCATCTATTCGATAAGCTCGTGGGTTAGTATGGTGTCGTTGACCGCGGCAGCGTTTCTAGCTCCTATAAGGGATATATACGAGGTATGAATGCGACTCTATCTATAAACTCCTAAATTATGAATACTGGTCTAACTTGCTAGCAAAAAGGCCTTCACCATCTACACTTTCTTCCAACTCCTAATCAACTACCTCGATGGCGAACGAGCCCTTATAATAATGACCCATGGCCGCGCTCCTGTGCATCACCTGTGGCCATTAAACCACATCTTCCCGAAAGTCGATATTTCCGACCCATACACATTCCTTGCTATAAAGCGAGGAATTCTCCAATACGCATGGCTTAAGCCCATCCTAGCTCTTGCAACGATTATCATGAAAGCAACAGGTATATATCAGGAGGGGTATATTGGGCTTTCTTCAGGCTACTTATGGAGTGGCATCATATACAACATCAGTGTTACTGTCAGTCTGTACTCGCTTGGGCTGTTCTGGGTCTGCATGCACAATGACCTAGTACCCTTCCGACCTGTGCCCAAGTTTTTATGCATCAAGCTCATCATCTTCGCTTCCTACTGGCAAGGATTTTTTCTTTCTATCCTAGTTTGGCTTGGGGCCATTCCGGACGATGTTCAGGGTTATACTTCGGACAATCTAGCAGCTGCCATCCAAGATGCTTTGATCTGTTGTGAGATGCCCGCGTTCGCCGTGGCTCATTGGTACGCTTTCTCTTGGCATGATTACGCCGATAACACACTCTCGTCGGCCAGATTACCCGTCAAGTATGCGGCGAGAGATGCCTTTGGTATTCTTGATCTTATTGAGGATTCCAAGCAAACATTTAGTGGGGACCAATACAGCTACAGGCTATTTGATTCTAGTGGAAAAGTTATCGCACACGAAGACTCAAGCTCCCGATTTGCAAGACTGAAAGATGGGATGAGATATAAGCGGGGAGGCGAGGCGAAGTACTGGATTCCTAAACCTGGAGAAGTTAGAGGGGAGCTAAGTGCGAATACGCCGCTCTTAAATTCCAACGGAGGACCGAGTGGTGCCGGTGATCCAGCGCCGAAGTATAACCACGGCTCTACCGACGAATCTACATTAGATCCCGATGATGAGAGCCTCTACAGCAGGGCCCGAGAGTTAGAGTTTGGGGATTGGAATGTAAGTTCGATTTACATGTTTATTGACGCATTACTTATATCGTTTCAGTATCCTGTCATCACCGCAAACGTGCCAACAAGAGAGCGCTGGCTCTCGAGGCATCCAGATGTGTATCAATCGCGTACTGGAGCTTGGCATTCAACTCGATCTCGCTCATCCGAGAGCCTCAGCAACAGGCCCCCGGCAACAACAGCCTCAAGTACCGAAACTATAACAAGCAAAAAGAAGAAAGGCAAGCAGAAACGAACTAAGCATACACCTAAGCCTCCCCCAGAACCAACGGCTACCGCTGCTAAGGAATCCCAGTCGAAAGGCCCGCTCGGTGCCCCCATACTATCAACCTCCGATCCTCAAATTTTAGAAGAGGAGGCCGAGGAGGAAGATCTGACGTTCAAAGTAGGAGAGCCGACACCTGACGAAGTAACCCCTGAAGGGCAGGAAAGCAACCAATGGGGTAATGATGGGGCGGAGCATGATGCAACCAGTCCAGTATTTAGCCCCGGAAACGAGGACGAGTTCCGGAATGTTTGGGGTAGCGACCGTTTGTGATTTGTATAGTACTTTTTTGCGCCGTTATTAGATACCCTGGAGTTCATACTACGCGGCTGTTTTTATATCGGTAGGTATATAGAGGGCATATTACACCATTAAAATCAGTTCCAATATTATCATTCTAACCGTCGAGTACTTTCTCTACCTATTCCCTGACCTAGAAACAGCTTAGCTTTAAAGATACCAATATGAAAGACCAAGTGATACGATCTGCTAATGAAGCTGAACGGTAATATCATCCATCTAACTCTCACACCCGCACAAACTCCCACCGCGAAGCCTTCGCCACCGTATTAGTCTCAAATAACTTGCCGTCCGTGTCCTCGGTGCTCATCGCCATCAATATCCACCAATGAATCGCAAAAATATTACATCCCCCAGCCTCGCGGGGTCGGATAAGCAATCGCTCCCACACACCCGGACTCCGCTTCTTAGCCCGAAATCCGCCCCAGCCGTCTCGTCCTAAATAGACCCCCGACACCGTCTCCCGGAAGTACAACCACCCGTCGTGGCTCTCGCTGCAGTGCCATCGCCAGCCCCCGTCTACGTCGGCGTCGGTTCGTAGGACTAGTTCTCCGCCGGAAAGGGTCACGGCCTTGCCCGTGTCCATGTGCCGGATCATGTATGTCTCGCCTGCTTCGGGCGCGGACCCGATACCCCCGTATGTGGAGAAGGGTGCGGGGAGGGGGATGGCGGCGAGGTTGGATGGTGATGTTGTGTGTGTGGGCGTGTAGACGCCGGTTGTGCCGCTGAGCGAGCTTGTGTCGCTTTGGGTTCTTCTTGTCCAGGCGTCCATTGAGGTTAGTTTGGACATGGGGAGGTAGTGTCGTATTCCGTATCTAGGTAGTAATAGTTCGTCTAGTCGCGTGTCTAATGCTTGAAGTTTACGCGGTATCTTGGTTGTGGTAGTAAGATACGTGAGAAAGTAGTGTTGATCGTGTTTGTCGAGTGTCTCGCGGCTATGGCTGTTAGGCAACTTGCGTCGAAGGCAGATTCCACAAAACTAGATCTGCAGGTATCCGAGTACAGCCAATCACTGGTACCTATATACATTTATGATAGGTCAGGTTTTTCGATGCGGCCGATAGCCATGACCGACGTTCCACGAGATCGGATAAACTTGTCGTATCAAAATAAATAACGCGGTTTTAATGACAGACTGAAACTAACTGGGGAACTATACGGTGAGCTAGAGATGTCTCATATGGGATAATTGGCTAGGAACGAAAGGTTTGGGTCTGTAAGCGCCGTCTTTCATCGGTTTTACTTTTACGTCGTATATTACAAACGGAGTACTTCCAGCTCTTCTATTATGTTACACCTTGCGTATGACTGACATACTGTTGTAGAAATTATTGCAATTCACACCAAAACGTCCCTAAAAAGAGGGCATAGGCACAGTCAAGCTCCCCTAGTCTTCATTCTCGGATACTCTAAAGCTGTCCCTTAACAGCTTCCCGTTAGATGATAACCTAGGACCTCTACCTACAAACCGCCAATGCTCTAGTACGCTGGGCAGTACTTTAGTAGAGAAAACAGTACCCTAAGCACAATCTTAGAAAAGGTATGCACAGGACCTACGGGACTAACACAAGTAGCTGCGAGATCTTTATCCAGCCGTTTATACTAAATAAATAATAGACTACCATATGGCTTATCAATAAGAAATTACCTACAGTTTTAACAACATAGTATACCCTTCTCAAGCCCATCAGTAGGTAGTTTATAGACAGTGATACACTAAGAGATATCTACAGACTACCATAGACTCCCGGAAGATGATAATACCTCGAGGTCAGGCGAAATTCGGGACAAACTGTAACTTAAACCCCCCCGCCTGGTAGATTGAGAACACAACAGCTCCGTAGGCAGATCAAATTAGCAACGGAGATACCAAAGTTATCGAGGCAGGTTTGCACAAAAAGCACCCAGAAAGCACCAACGAGACCTCACGACGCCTAGAGCTCTTACAAACCGACAAATTAGTTACGGATACTACAATTCACATAGTTATCAATAAACATCATGGTCCTCGGGAGGATATTACATCCAATTCCAAGATCGCCTAAGAGGCCTTAAGATACAAGTAGCAGAGATGGAATAAAACTCCTAAATATACTGAAATACAAAGCTATCAGAATACTGGTAACTCTGAACTTTCCATTTTATGAAAATACTTGAAAATGAGAATATATGGCTAGAAAAGAGACCGTCTAATTTAGGAGCTAATATTCCCGGCGATATGTATAGAAAACTAGAATCGCCGGCTAGAATCCTTAGGACTATTCTCCTTCGTTTTTATTAGACAATAGAGCGTTATAGAATTCTCCGTAACTCGTAACCTAGTTAGCCCGCCTTAGGTAGCGTTTCTATAAATCTACATAATAGTTAACTTCCAACCGGTGTCTCACATTCAAACTTATCACAAAGCATAACCCAATTCGGAGGAGCTGTAGTGTCAAGCGACAATACTAGACTCGGTAGTTGAAACACGGCATTAAAGCATTTGACTCCAAGCTCTAGCCGATATTTATGGATGGATAAACATGCGTATATACACACCAGTTTCCCATATATACAAGAATCAAATTTCTCGCGTGTCATAGCTAGATACACTCTAAACCCGCCGGCCCTCTAACCTCCTCATATTGATCATGAACTACCCCTACGACTCCGTAGCCGGACTCGGCGGCGCATCTCCAGTCGCCCAATCAGCCGGTTCCGACCCCAGTACAAAGTCCAGTGTGCCGCCCTTCGCAAAAACATCCTCCCACGCGACCCACGCCTTATCCCAGCTCTTGCCGTTAACCTTGAGCGACTGGACGTAGTAAGACTGAGCGTCACCTCCTTCTGTGTTAATCTGCAGCTTATTCCCACCACCGAGGTCGATAGTCAGGTCCTTGAACCACGGGGATCCGATGAGGAAGGTAGTTTGGCCCGTCATGGGGTATAGACCAATAATGGACCACAACAGCCACGACTCCATAGCACCCGCATCCGAGTTCCCCGGAAGTCCGCCGGGCGTTGGTGCGTAGTAGCTATCGGCAACGTACCGGCTATGCTTGACGCTGAGGTCCTGGCGGCCGACGTAATTGAACAGGTATGGCGACGTGAAGCTAGGCTCGTTACCTGGGTTGAAAAGTGTGTGGTTGAACTGCGAGTTACCGGAGCTGACGCCACCCTCGAAGAACTTCTCCAGACGCGCGGTGAATTTGTCCTTACCACCCGATAGCTCGACCAGCTTGTTGATATCGTGGTGCGCGTTGAACGAGTACTCTATTGGGAGCGCCTCGTAGTAGTCGTCGCCCCAGTAGCATCCGCCGCAGCTGAGCGGGTCCTGGTCCTTGAAGTTGCCGTCCTCGTCGATCGGACCCAGGAAGCCCTTGAATCCCAATGCTTCTAGGTCCGGGTTCCATTGGTTGCGCCAGTTGCGAGAGCGGTTAAGGTATTTCTGCGCCTCTTCGTCCTTTCCTAGGCCCTTGGCTACTTGGTAGAGACCGAAGTCGTTTCCGGCACTGTAGGTAGTTAGTCTAATTTCTTACTAATACATAGGATTGAGGCATTGCCTACTATTCGATGGCTCGGCTGACGGAGCGCTTGTATTTTGTGGTAATGTATCCGCGATCTATCCAATCGGGCAGTGCACCTCGTCCTTCCTTAGTAGAGGCAGTCTTGTCTCTGGGATCGTTGTTGTTTGGCGGCACCGTCTCGGCATCTGTGACCATAGCGGAGAATGCGTCGTCCCAGTTGATAGCACCGCGAACTCCCTTTACATAAGCGTCTGCAAGGATATTGTCTGCGTTGGAGCCTCCTTGAGTTGCACCGTTGAAGAATGAGGATCTCGCGTCAGGTAAGAAGCCGTCATGTCTCCATATATCAACTAGAGAACGAATGAATTCCTCGTATACAACAGGCTGTAGGATATGCAAAAGAGAGGTTGTGCACCGGAACTGCGACTGGTTAGATTCTAGATGCCGACGATCTGGAGAGTGCAACTTACTGTGTCCCAGAACGTGAAAATGTCATCATAGTAAGGCTCGCTCGATGACCAGAGCGGATTCTCTCCCGTCTTGTTGCTGGGAATAATGGACATGTGATAGAGAGACGAGTAAAGAAGCTGAAGTCTGGTTGTGTTAGAGACATCCGTTGTGGTGACCTTGGATAAAATTTGGCTGCTCCAAGCTGCCTTAACGTCGTGTTCTAAGGTTTCTCGAGATGTCCCGACAGGAATCTCTCTATTGACATTTTCACAAGCCTGTTCAGGTGAAATAAATGATACTCCTACCCTTGAGGTGACATTCGTGCTGTCAAAGGTGAAGACGGCGCCCAATCGGGCATCAGAGTCTTGCTCAGAAGCATCGCTGTAGTCTACCAACTCGTCACCTGTTGAGTCCTTACCCAAGAACGTCTTAAAAGTTGCTGACTGGTCAAAATAGCCACAGAAATGAACAGTCCACTTCGGGGCGCGGTTCCAACCCTAGGGAAAGTTAACTTAAATCGGTGTCTGCCTATTGGCTTCGATAAACATACATTATCATAAGAACCAGATCCTTGGTAACGAACACCGTCATCTGTCTTGGATACCGAAATGTTGCCGCCCAAATAGTTTTGACCTAAACCTTGACCCCTGAAAGATGGAAGAACATGAGAAACATCGACGATGACATTTGTACCGTCTGCGTCGTCCGGGAATTGGTATTGGAATAGGCCGGCTTTGCCAGTTGCTCCTAGTTCCACGGTTATACCATTTGATTGACTTGACTTGTAATAGCCGAGTCTCGCATCATCTGCCTTGCTTCGGCTGATGCCCTGGTCGGTCAATGGGTTGTCAATTGAGCCCACCACGGGTAACTGGCTAACAACTCCGTATTTAGGCGCGCCGCCCGTGCCGCTCTCGTGCAATAAACTAAAGCCGGTGAAATTTCCGTTGGACTGGTATCCCGAATAGCTGTCGGATCCGGTGTATAGATCAGGGCCTAGCTTTACCATCCCGAACGGTAAGCTAACCCCGGGAAAAGTGTTGCCTCCATTCACAGAGCCGGTCTTTAGTCGGAATTGTTAGTTCGGGGACGCGCTCGGAGTGTGTACTGATTTGGGTTACGTACAAATGGTAATACAAACTGACTCAGTTCTTGAACTTGGAACTCTTTAGCTTGAGCGAGCGTTAGGCCCAGCGCCATACCTGCGGGAACGCGCATTTTGTCGGATTGACCTGGACGTTGAAATTGATCGACAAAGTCCAATATCGATACGAATAGATATCGCAACATCAGGAGACAAACATGCTAGAGTAGTCGCTGGGTAGAACTGAAAACTACACAAGTAATTCAAGAAAGAGGCCGTAAAGAATGTATAGTACTCAGTACGAAGAGTACGAATAGAATGAACGAATAGTAAAGCAGCTACCTAAACAGCATGACGTTCCTATTATGGCTCCTGATGACATAGATCCTAGGAGCTACCTAATTTTGGACTTATGGAACGGGGCAACCAAGCCACGGTTCCTGGAATCCTGGCGGACTAAGCTTGACTACCTAGTTTGACTAGGCTGCACATTTCTGCTGAGTAGGAGATAGGTAATTGCTGCAAATATAATGTTGAACCGGGTTCACGGAGAACCCTGTATCTGTCTCGTTTGTATTAGGTAGTATTATGAAAGGGGTGGAGCAGCTTTGACGAGGCGCAGCGAAGATCGCAACCTTGTCGTCTTGAAAAACCTTGTTGAAATACATAGGCTTGGCACCTGAGCATAGGGCTGCTGCTGCTGCTATTTCAATATGGCAACTTGTTGTACTTGATAGTCTAAACTATCAA